TTACTTGTGTTTGTGATGATTTATAATTTGATTTATTGATTTCTTTTACTGATGAATCTGAGAATTTCTATTGTGTTCAGTAAAAGATAATTGTTGTGTTTAGTTTTAGAAAAAAAAAGTGTTTTATTCTCTGGCCCAATCATACTCACTATGATTGTCTTTGTAGTACTAAATTCTGTTATCTTTATGAGTAGTATAAATTCCTATTGAGATTTGAGAACTTATTCCTCTCTTCTTTGTTGAACCCCCGCTTTGCTCAGGGCACTTTGCATGTGTTAGTGTGCACAAGTTCTTCTTCGCCACAATAGTAACTGCTGTAATGTAAAGCTATTGCAATAATAGAAATAATTGTTATCTCAAATCACTCTACTTATTTTCTTAACTCTTATCATTTTTTTAATCCTTTTCTCAGAAAATAAAATTACAAGACTATTTCTTCAAGAACAATGAATTTTCTACATGGCTGAAAGAAGAGAGGAAAATATTTTTCTCAGATCTTTCTTCCAATTCTGCTCGTGATCTATTCAAAGAGTTTATCATTGAATGGAACAACAAGGAGCTCAAACCCTAATACTATGATGGCATTGCTGTTGCATAGGGCCTACTCTTAGAATTTTGAGACCCTAGGCAATGAAATGAAGCCCTGTCCCTAAACATAATTTTTTACAAGCATCAATCCAAGAAGCAGGCCAAGAATGTGTTTGGTTGAGGAACATGACCCATCATATTCAATCATTATGCGGGTTAACTTCAACAAAAAATAGCCAACAATTTTGTATTAAAACAATGCAGCTTATATTGCACAATTTAATTGAGATTATATTAAAGGTGATAGGATGAAACATATTTCTCCAAAATTCTTTTATATGCAAGAGCTTCAAAAGAATGATGAGATTGATGTCTAACAAATTCGCTCAAGCGACAATGTGGCGGATCTATTCACAAAGACACTATCGATATCTACATTCAAAAAATTGGTTCATGAGATTGGAAGGTGTCGACTCAAAGATTTTCAGTAATCAACATCAATAGGAGTAGCCGTACTCTTTTTCCTTCTATTAGATTTTATCCCACTGTATTTTCTAGCAAGGTTTTAATGAGACAGCATTTAATTTTAATACTCCAAAATAACTTTACTCCTTTCCTTCATTTAATTTTCTTGTTCCATTGGATTTTATCAAACAAAGTTTTAATGAGACAGATATTTTGTAATATGTCATTCAATGGGGATTGTTGTAAATAGTAAATTTATTAGTGAATGACAATTGTACCCCTGGAACCTTTAAAATTATTACTGTTGTATCCTTGATACTTCCCTAGAAATATATGGCTTTGGTTTTTAATAAAACACACACAAGTCCATTATTTTTATTCCCTCTTCCCTTTTTCTCTCTTTTCATAACAAATATTCAAAATTTTTAAAATTTTAATATGGAAATATATAAAGTGGGATGAATATATATAAGAATTGTGGATGTAAATATTGGCACCCACTTATAATTATAATTTTTTTATGGAACAATACATATCTAAGATGTTGAATAATACAATTTCAAAATTATGAAATTTATTTTAAAATTTCAAAAATAAGGCCATGATTAAATTTTATTAATTAAATAGATAATTAGAAATATTTCATCAATTAAATATATTAAGATCATAATATTATATAGCTTATGATTACAGTTACATACTAGATACAATCATAAATCACAAATTTTATAGGTTACAAATTATCAAATCAATAGATCACGTATTATTTTCGTTCACAAATCACAGATTTTGTAGGTTACAACTTATTTCACAGTTAAATTATCAAATTAATTGGCCACAATTTAATAAATTGTAAATCACAATTACAAAATTAGTCGCAGTCTCACATTTTAGGTTTCATATTATTTATTGATGACAAATTATCTAAATAAATAATATAAATATTATTTAACTAAAATTGAAAAAATGAAGTTTTATCATAGAAAGACAAAATTAAAAAAAAATTAAATCTAAAAAAATATTTATAATATGAATAAAACAATTGAGAAATTTTAAAACTATTTTAAAAAATATATATATATAATAAAAACAAAACAAATTAAACAAAAGAAAAAAATGAGGAAAAAATAGGCCAACTGTAACGGCCCAAATAGTAAACAATCGGCCCTAATCGACTGTAAAAAAGGACCGTGGACCCAATTCGACTGTTTACAGACCCAAATCGAGGCCGGCTGTATCTTGTCAGAAATGATAAGATACCTAAATAATGAAGAACACAAATTCACAAAACATGTAAAATGAAAAACCAATCTCTTATCCCACGAAAAAAACTAACCTTGTTGAAAATAATGATCGAGTTTTGTGGTGATCGGCATTAGGTAGATTGTGAGGTTGTCAACTTTGACCAAATCCTGACTATAAAGACTGTGCGATTTTTTTTTTTCTTTTTTCCAGTCCTCTCCTATCTTTGTTGAAGATGAGGGCAATTTTGACAAATGTATATAAAATTTCTATTTTAATTTTTAACTTTTTTTTTTAAATGGTCAAAGGCCATTTCCGATAAATGGCCGGTTCCATGTATTTCTTCGATTGGAGGGCGAGAATGATTTAGATGATATAAAAAATGTGTTTTAATTTTGAGCTTCTTGTTACTACATGTGGCGGACAGAGATAATTTTGTATTTTTTCATTTTCGAATTGTTTTAGATGTATGAATGGATTTTCAGACCTTCTACAGGAGCATATATTATTGTTTTGGCGAGACAGCCGTTGTGTTCGATTTAAATATTTTTTTCTAAAATGAGCTACTTTCTAAAATGTTTTCCCTTGGTAACCTATGCTATATTCTTCTGAATAAGAAACACATCTGAGTCCAAATGTGATTCTTTTATTTTTCTTTTGTAATCATTCCAGCATAGGATAAGAAACAGATTCTTTTCATGTTCTATTAAATTCTATGTTCATATAAGAAATTATGCGAGCTCATGCAAAAATTTGATGTAAAGTCTTCTTATCTTTCTTTATCTAAATTTACTGAAAAATCTTGGTATTTAGTGTTTTCCACTCTTTATTATACAATCCTTGTCTCGGTGCGTTTCCCAAGGAAAAGAAATGGTGGATTGTTTAAAAAAAAAAAAGGAAAAAGAAAAAGGTTGAACTTCAATCTTAAGGGCTCGGACACCTCGCCCCTAGTACTTTGTGAGGGAGGTAGATCGTGGGATTTGTCCCAACAAATTAGGAAACAAGAGTTGCCTGTACACTCGCCTACAAGGAGTCCAATACCATGTTTCAGGAATCGAACCCCCACACTACGGTTGCCAACAAGGCGTGAGATAACCTCTACTAAGCTATACCCCAAGGGGCATTGCAAGGGTTGAGGGTGAAAAGAGTAAAAGCCTCAGGGAAAAGGGGTATATTCTCTTGCGACTTCTGAGGATTTACTCTTTATATACCTTTTTGGAGATTCAAATGGCGTGTTAATGTGTAGAAATGTTTTTAATATGTTGAAGCTCATAGTTCAACATTTCTTATATGGTCAACAAGTTTTTGAGTGCTACTTGTACTTTTGAATGCATGCATTCAATTCTTTAACTGATGTGCCGAGTGCCGACTCATAGTCCTGAATTACGCGCTCGGACTTTCATTTACTTGAAAAATATTTCTCACTTTGTCAAGGTCGTAAACATGATAATGAAACAAAAGATTTTCGAGGCTCATGCAATCTCTGGTTCTCTCTGCTAATAAAATATGATTTGAAATTTGAGTGCAAGTCATTTTATAAATGAAGTTGTCATCATTTTCGTTGTTGAACTTTTATCGCTCTTTCTACCTCAGGCTCGGTACCTGAAAGGAAAGAGACTAACGGAACAAAAACCACATGTTTGAAGATAAATTTTTCAAAAAATTTTGCCTGATAATTCAAAGAAGGTACAGGTGAATAATTTAGATTTGTCTTTTGATCATAATTCCCTAATTTTTTGTGCGCAAGATACCATCTACTTGTATAGGAATAGTTTTTCTAGCATTTTCGATTAGGTTTGAATGGTACTGAAACTCTATCTGGTAATTTACACATTAATTAAAAAAATAGAATATAAATCATACATCAAATTTTACCGACACTCACTTTCACAATGTTGATTTTGTATACCATCGTACAAAAAAATTGAGTATCTATAGATTAACACGTTCTTTTTCAATTAGGGTCATTTGGTCTTAAATGGGTGTTGATCTCGTTCATAGGAAGGTCGATTTTGACCAATTCAGTTAACCAGTTTTAGATAGTGTAATGTAAGAAAATTGGTGTCAAGTAAGATTCGAAACTATCTATTTGAAAGCCATAATCTTTCTAGGTTTATTCCTTTTTATTTTTGGAAAATCAGTTTTTATATTATATTGTTACTATGTCATCTAAAAATCTCATGTTTGAAAAATGTTTATAAATAGTTTCTTGTTCCTAGGATCATAATATTTACACGTATGAGGATACGTGATACTAGGTGTATATACATGTCATTCACCTAAGAGATGCACTGAGACAGAAGTAATCAAGCCGATCTCACAAATGGAATGTGGGAATGAAGAATCCACAATGAGACTTGATAAAAATAACCCCGAAATAAAACTCGGATATATCACCTTAGAGGGAGTGGAAGCACCATGTAGCTTGACAAGATAGAGGCGATTCAAAGGGAGAGTTTCGCTTGTAAAAGGGAGGATTTCCCTCCCATTTGAGACATAAAAAATAGAAAAAGTTCAAAGATAAATAAACAGTTAGTCATATTATTTTTATTTCAACCACACCGAATCCCATGAAATTTTAATCTTACTCAAAAAATACCTTGTAGGTCGATTAAAATGTGTCGTATCACCATTTACTATCAAGACAATTCAAATTATAATAAATACAAATGAATGATAAATACATAAATAATACTTTCAGCCTCTCAAAATATGTGAATAAAGAAGAGATTTGAACGTTCTATGAACACGAGCCACAAGAGATGTTGATCGAAATAGTCCAATCTATCCAACAAGGCTGCTGATATTGAAGTCACCACTGACTTTGGTATAACAGTCCACGAATGATACGAACATGGCACCACATTATACCATCTGCAAAGGAAACGACCATATTTTCTGCTTACACTTTCCTCCAACCCGCACCCGCTGGGGTCTCTGTCATTTTTCCTTATAGTCGTCAGGTATTCCAATACCCCCGCAGGGGACTCTTTCATTTTTCCTTCTAGTCTTCAGATATTCCAATACCCGTAAAACTTACTTTACTTGCCATTTCCCCACTTAATCAGTTCTTTGCCCCTTTTCTTCCATTATCCGTCTGGGTTTTTTTCTACAAGTGATGAGACTGAAAATAGTGCATCAAAATCAACAAAATCGTGTTGGTGATGATCGAGAGATGAAAAAGGAGGAAGAAATGGAGCATACCCATGTGTGTATTAGGCTAGAGGAGGAGTCCACGAAGGAGAATTCTTCCCCTCTGAACCCTTCACCCATTTCTGTAACTGACCCTGTTCTTGCTTCTGTAAGTTTGTTTTTGCGCATGTTTATAAATAGTTGTGGATTCATGTTTATAAGATTTGACAATTTTTTATGACTGTCAACCTAACACAACCCTCATCGGGGATGGCGAACATTCGAAGATTTGCGCGTTTATAAATTTTAATAAGAAGATTTATGCTGTTTAATTATGTGGATGAATTTGTCCAATTGACATTAGATCTGGTTTAATTGTTTAAGGGTAAAAGGAAGAGGAAACCAAAGGAGATAAATGATGAGATGTCGCCCATTCTAAGGCGGAGGAAGAAGCCCTCCACGTCCAAATCCAAAGATGTAGCTTCTCTTTTTTATTTTTCTTGTTTTACATTTTGCCTTTAGTTTTTTTGCGTGTTTTTTCTAAATGCCCAAAATCTGTAAGTAGTCTTGTTACATTGGAAATTTGGGACAATGCTCGAATCTGGGTTTTAACGATTTGTTGAAATGGCCTTAAGAAATTAAGGATTTGTGGCTCTTTGTTGCTTCACACTACAACACACTAGCTGCATGTTCGTGTCTTCATGTTAGAATTGACATTTATTTTTAGGGTGTCTCGTTGATAAGCATTTTATACATATAGATTAACCTTGTTTATGATGTGGTAATTCCACATCCAGACTTCTTTGATATTTTGGCAAATGGCCTTGTTTATTCGTCCTTTTACACAAAATATTTATGTTTATATATATGTAATGTCTGAACATGACATTTGATTAGCAGGCGAAACGAGATAGTTCTGGGACATTGATAAGGTTAGTTCAGTTCCAAAAATAACTTTTTCTGGAGAATTCTGCATGCTTACTTTTGAAAATGACCTGCTACATCACTTGAAACAGTAATGGACATTCCACTAATGATGGGTCAAGCAGTGCAGTGACTCCAGTCCAAGTGAAATCACCGACTATGATTCGAGCAGAGGAGTTTCAATCGAGTTTAGGGAATGAACACCCTAACTTTTTGAAGACACTAGTTAGATCACATGTTGCAAGTTGTTTTTGGATGGTAATGATCTTTTCAGGTGGATCTGATTATGTTTAAGATGTTTACCTACGAGTATATTAGTACATTTTAGAAGTAATAAACTAGTCAAAGCGCGAATAAGTTACTTATTTTGACATTAATAGAAGAGTTACTTATAAAAGACTACATTTTTTTACTCAATAGTAAGCTATCCAAATATATTAGGAGACAAGAAGTTACTTAAAAGTAACTTTACTTTTTCTAAGCTTAGCCATAGATGCCCATTGGCAACATGGGAGTGTCAGATGCATTTTGTCTTTTCTTTTTGACTACCATTTCTCTCCAGGGCCTTCCTATGCCATTCTGCAAGTTATTTTTGCCAACTAAGGACACTACAGTTACTATTGAGGATGAAAACGGTGAAGAATTTGGAGTTAAGTACATTGCAAACAAGACAGGACTAAGTGCTGGATGGAGGAAGTTTGTTTCTGGAAATAAATTGCTTGAAGGAGACGTTCTGATCTTTCAGCTGGTTGAACCGTGCAGATTTAAGGTGATTTCTAGCAGCATTATGTTTTCTTTACTGGTTTCTTCATTCTACTTACTATAGCAATACATGCAATATTTCTTCTGTAGGTGTATATAATCAGGGCAAACAATTTAACTGAAGTAGATGGTGCTCTTAGCCTTCTAATACTGGACTCTCAAACTAAACAAAGTGAGGCAGGTTAGTAACTGATCTTGGTATTTTTTGGTTTCAATTGAGTTGCTGAACTTGAAAATTCGTTACAAATTTACAGTTTCGCATTTTGTTCATATCCATTAGTTTGATTAAAGGAAAACCTAATGCCACCTTTTCTATTAATCAATCTAACGAATATGTATGGAACGTCCAAATTATAATTAAGTTTAAGTTTAGTGAACAACATGAAAAAATTCAGTGACCACCAATGTATTTTACCCTTAGGGTAAAGGATGACTGAACACACCTTGCCATTTTCTGTTGGCTTCTGGCATCAATTTGCTCCATTATCTGTTCTCTGCTATTTTTTATTTTTATTTTTATTTTTTCTAATTGTGAAATATTATCGAACAATAAAGCTGAGGGAACAGCAGATGTAAAAATCAGAAAGCGTCGTCCAAAATCTCTACCTTTGACAGTTGTGCAGAAAAAGAAACAAAAGGCAGGTAAATCTGGGCAGCCTGAGGAACAGTCTGGAATCGATAGTGACGAGGTTGCCTCTGAAGTTTTTGGGGGTTCAAAGTGTTCTGGATCCTCCATACATTTTAAAGACGTTAAAAGCTTCGAAGAATTCCACATTGTGGTGAATGGGGTATGCATTGACTCCGAACTTCCTGAACCTGTAAGGCGAAAGTACTACGAGCTGTGCTGCAGTAAGAATGCTTTTCTTCACGAAGGACTTCTCCCGGGCCTCTACTGTAAGTTAGTAGCTGGTATGATTTTCGAAGTTGTCAACACTGCCGATGCTATAAAAGCTTGCAAACTAACAACTCCTCGGTCGGATTTTGAAGTATGGGAAAAGTCGCTTAGGTCTTTTGAACTTTTGGGGCTGAATGTTGGATTTTTGTGGACACGTCTAGGTAAACTGCTGAAGTTGGCATTCGATTCTGAAGGTGCTGTAGATGCAAAAAAATACTGGAAGGCTAAAACTGAGCGAGCTCGAACCGAAGATGAGATCAGAGATCTTGAAGCGAAGCTTGTTGAATTGAAAGAAGTATCCGTGAAATTCGATGCTGAAATCGAGAGTTTGAAATCAAAGGCGGAGAGATACGAACTTGTGTTCCAAGAAGAGGTAAACGCTCCATGGTAGTTTTCTCGACAAATATATAGCTAGTTATTCTGTTAGTATTTCAATCGAAATCATGCCTAGGAAAAAAGGAGCAGAGTATTCCTTAGCTCTTTTCTTGATTTTGGAAGAATTTTCATTACATTTTGAAACTTAAAGTGAAGATGACTGATTTCTGTTAATGAACGTTTTGATTGTTCTAAAGTTGGACTTTGTGTTATTTAATTCATTGAAATATTGTATTGATCATCAGCATTTTTTACTAAGCCGTAAAAGTTTCTTATAAGTTAATAAGTTTTTAATATATAAATTTTTTTTTTTTTATCGGCTAAAGTGAGAATTTAAATACATTTTTTATGGTCTTCTAAGCTCTCTTTGCTGTTAAAAGGGGGAAAAAAAGTTTTAAAACAGCTTATTTACTTAAAAGTAAAAAAAGAAAAAAGGTAATTTATTGAAATGTATTTGGATATTAAAAGTTGTTTAATTTAGATTATCAAATACTGTTACGATATTTGTTGTTGTTGTAGTGAATGACTTTTGTCGAGTTTAATTTACTGACTTTTGTAGATTTTACATACTTACGAAGATTTTCATATAGCCTTTAAATTTTTAAGGACTTCAATAGATTTTGATAAACCTTTATAGACTTATAAAATATTTTCATAAACATTCATTAAAATAAAAGATTATTGTTTAAAATCATTAGAATTGTTGCAAATTGAAGCAAATAAGAATACAAAATAATAAAGGAAACTATCAAGTGAGGAGAATTAGGGAGAAAATATTCTTACTTTTGACATAAAGTGATTCATACATATCGAAATATAACATGTTACAAGATTAATGGTAACTATATATACAAGTTTGTAACTTATAGGGGCTGTGTACATTTCATAAACAATATGCTTGGTTAAAAGTTGACATATTTAGTGAAGGAAAAATAATGTACTATTTTTGAGTAATTGGCATATGGTTCAATATTGCATGTGTTGGATAATTAAAGTTCTTGTACAATATAGTATATATTTTAATTGTACTAATAATCAAGTAACATTTTCTATCGACATCTTCTATTTGAGACAATAATTGTGATGTATGTATATTTAGTCTTATTGTTTGTTTGAATATGGTACACTTGTGTTGACCTCTTTTTTGTCGTGATGACGTGGCCAACAGGTAACATCTTCAATAAGTGAGGGCTCAAAAATATAATTTGATCCCAAATAGACGAGAACTTACAAATTGCCTCGAAAGATTAATATTGTATTTATTTGTTAAAATTTCTCCAGCATCTCCTCTTTAATATGGACTAAACTAAACTATAATATAATACAATATTTCCATTACACATAATGGCAATAAAGAGAAATATAATGTGTAGAGGATCTATCATGCATCATAGTAAATAGAGGCAAACCACATGGGGTCAAATGACCCACAAAATTTTTGTTTTTTTTTTTTCCAAAAAATAATTGTTTTAACCCTTTATGGCTTACTTTGATGCACTCATTTCGGGATGAGAAATGAAGTCGAAACATGGCATCCTTAATGCCATTTTGAAATGCTTATGGCCTAGTTGTTTGCTCGTTAATAGCATGTGAAACGACCGATCATAATAAAAGTTACGACGCATCAAAGTAGATCGTTCCAAACTAATATTTTGAGAATTTCGATAATATGCTAACTTTCAAAATTTGCTGATGATCGTATAATATTCAAATCTAGAAATTTCCTGCATCATCTAGAAGCTCGTTTCGAGAACTATATTATAGTTATATTGAATGATCCAAATGGATATTTACAAGAGTTAAATATACATTAAATGTACATCTTAAAAGAGCCATTTAACTCGTCATTTCTTTAAAATTTTCAATTATTTTATTAACGTTTATTATTTCTTAACGATAGATTTTTCAATATAATTTACATCATTTTATTAGGAAATTTACATGGAATATGACGTTAAATTTTAGGATCGTTACGGATTAAATGTAATTTGAATTACTTTCGCATTACTTTTGCATTAAATTTAAATTTTATTTACTTTCTAGATTAAAAGTGAATTTTATTTTAATTCATTTACTTCCTACATTGAATTTGATTTACTCGTCATCAGCTCAACATCTCTTAATAAAATGGTAGAAAAAATTACACAAGTATTAAAATTCATTTAATAATATTGATAATAATATAGTCATAAGACGTTTTCAAAGTATCAAAATGCATGGTAACTTATTTTCATTAAAATTATATTGTTTTTAAAAAATTACACTTTAATTTTTGACCCTACAACACAAAAGCTCTAGGTCCGCCCCAGATAGAAAATATAATATGGAAATGGTCTATCATGTATCATAGTAGATCATATACTTGCACAGCTCAATGTAACATTATTGCTAATGTTAAACTAGTAATAGTGAAAATAGTGCCATGAGTCTCATGACATGCTAGTAGTAATTGTCACGCCTTCTGGTTTGGTTTTAGCTCCAAATCATCACCAATGTGGGAGCCAATTGAGTAAATCTATTAGGCCCACTCTCCCTCCACACCAACTTCCACTAATCGAAGAGACTTTTCGTCCTATCCAAGGCTTTGCGAATCATTTATGGCCAAAGTCAGTTAGGAGCTTCAGAGTCAAAATATCACTTCCATCACCCTAAGCGACTTAGGATCTCCTCAAAACAAATTTTAATGATTGATTGAGTTGAAAGTTACCAGCCACATTTTACAGCATTAAATGTTGCCGTAAAAGCCGACACCTAGGGGGAAACATATTCTACCCTTATTATCAACTAACTAGACCGCTGAAGTGCTTGCGGCCTACTCACCACGTTAGAAAAGGGCATAAGCAACTAATGGCATTCTAGTGTGTAAGAGTTATCTACATGGAGCTATCATTTGTTGGCCGAGCCATCATGACAAAAAAGGTGGTCAACAACTTGTATATTTCAAAGCAAGGATTTTTTATTTTTTATTTATTTAATTTTTTTAGGTGGAGAACCTACAAATCTTTTGAAGCTTGCAATCAAATTTCTAAAAAAGTTTGATCAGTTGATAAAATTTTAACTAGTTTTAGATAAAAACTTAAAAGGCCTTGATCGAATTCCCCAAACGTTTTAATTGTATGGAACTCTTAAAAAGTCCAAGTTAAATGTAATTTTTGCCATTTTTAAGCTTGGCTAAACATGCTTAGACATTTCTCTCGATTTCTTAATGTTTGATATAAAGGGTGTGATGTGACTCCCTAAGATTGATTCTTCAAGTTGTTTCTTTCAAGGAGGTCGTAAATAGTACAAAAATATAGGAGCCCTCTTTTGGCAAAAATACAAACAAATTCATAATAAGTTTGGACACCAAATTGGTCACAAACCCACAAAAAATGGCCACCAGTTCGAGGATTAGAAAATATGCAGATACAAACTTACACATATCGGCATTTCAGCTATGATCACACGCCGTCTCACTTGCACATCAGATTCGTATTTTATCAAAACCATGACAATTTCGTACTATTCATAAATATGAATCGACTGGACTTGAATCGACCTATCTAGAAGCTTATCACAAACACCAGGGTGAAAATCACGAAAGGAAGAAGGCCGAAAGAAAATTGAATTACTTCATCCAGAGTATATAAATGGTGAAAATGAGAGAGGAATTCCAAAGGGTTGGAGTTTAAAACGAGTGCCATCGCATACGAATAGTATCTGTGGGCACATTAGTGTTTCTGCCTTTATCCCAGTGAGTATTGGAAGGGCTTCGCCATTGAAATGGGATCATACCGAGAGATGGATTAAGAGCCCGGTCTCATGGTGCATTTAGGACTTCGATTATGCAGCCTAAAAGGCAGTTGAGGTCGAAGAGTTGCCACTTATGATTGGAGTTTTGGTGCCTAATGGTTTGTCCATTGGTTATGACGAAAATCGAACTCTGTGAATCCTTCAAGAAGCATGGTTCGGTTGACTAATATGTAGGGATATTTGGACGTGTTTAGTAATTCTTAATTGTCGAGTTCACAAGGTATGAAAGAAGGAACTTGACAGAAGTTAAAGACAGAAAGTCGAAATCACTGCCTGGGAGAACTTGCAGCAGCCAAAAGCTGAACTGCAATTCGAAAACTGGAGGTTCGAATAACATCACCAAAATTTAATCAAAAGCAAAATGTCATTGTTTTTTCATGTTAACATAATCAATATAGAAAATGAAGCATAGAAGAGTGGAGAGTAATGAATAAAATAAGCGGAGCAAACTAAGTTAAAATCTTGTATATTCTACTGCTTAGTACAGTGTACCAAGCATATCTGGGGATTTAGAGGAATTTCTCAATCGCTCGCTCTCTCACACACACTTGCACAAATTCATCATTGATCTATTGATTTCACAACTATGTGAATCGTGACAATTAATAAAGTGAGTTTTTAGTCAAAATCGTGCCCACAAGCACTAAATATTTACTTCTAATTTTATCCTAATCTAGCTTCAATTTAAATTTCTTTAGTAATTAATTATCAAATTTAAGTGTTTATGTGTCGAACTAAATTATACTAATTTAATCTAATTTAACGAGTTTGTGGAGGGCTTTTTAGGATTTAGTGGTTAGGAATTAAGATTTCGCTTAGATTATTTAACATTCATCTAATCCAATTTTATTTAACCGATTTCTCATATGGATTAACGATAGAATTAATCAATTTTAGTTAGTAATATATTAGGAGCAAAACTAACACTATTCACATGCTCAGATTAATTATATAAATTCCTACACATGCAAAAGCATTCAATTTTAATAATCGAATTATAATTGCATAAGCTATAAAAGTATCTTTCAATCTCTTGTCAAAACATATGTTACTTATTTCACGAATTAGATACATATCTCTCTCAGTCTCAATATTATCCTTGAATCATGTAATTGACGATCAATCAATTATAATATCACTTTGACCCACAATAATTAATAGACAAACAAATTGGCATGAAATCTATCGAATTAAACAAATGTCAATCTAACTTACATAGTCCATCCTGACAACAAGCAATTTAGCTAATCATAATATTGAAATAAAATATGAAAAAATAAAATAAAATATCGGGTTCAATTCAATGATTGAAGAATTAATCCAAGATTTTCAATTCTTCCTTGATTGATTGTATATATCCTGATCGATTATGTTCTTCAATCTCCAAATCCCCAAATTTAGGTGCAAATATTGACGATTTATGTGTTTT